CCGGCTGCCCGCCGGGCTGTCGCAGTGGTTCCCGGCGCTGGAGGTGTTGGACGTGAGCGGGACGGGGTTGGCGGAGCTGGGCGCGGAGCTGCTGGCCCTGCCGCGCCTCCACACGCTCCTGGCTAAGAACAACCGGCTGGGCGGGCCCGGTTCGCTGCCCAAGGGGCTGGGGCAGGCCCCGGTCGGCCGCTCCCTCCGCGTCCTCAACCTCAGCGGGAACCGCTTCGCCGAGGTGCCGCCCGCCCTGCTGGGGTTGCGGGGGCTGCAGAGCCTCAGCCTCGGCGGCAACCGCCTCCACGGCATCCCGCCCGACATCCAGGAGCTCCGCAGGTGAGGGGCAGGGCGTCGGGCGGGACGGGGCCGTCCCCCGCCCTGCGCCTGCGGGGCCGGGCCTTTGCCCCCCGGGGGGGGACGGGACGGGACGAGAAAAGTCCCCCGGGCGAACCCGACCGGATTTTCTCGCCGCGGAGCCGGCAGCGAGCACCGTGTCTCCCTCCCCGCCCGGGATGTCTCCAAGCACTGCTGCTAAGGTGTCTCTCCCCCTTGGAATCATAGAGTGGTTTGGGTTGGAAGGGACCGTAAAGAGCATCGAGTTCCAACCCCCCTGCCATGGGCAGGGACACCTCCACTAGAGCAGGTTGCTCAAAGCCCATCCTCAGCTTGAGTGGCCACAACTCAGAGCTGTCCTCAGGCAGGCGATGGGGCTCCTGTGCTCACAAATTGGGTGGCTCTCTCGGGATTTCCTAGCCCTCAGGGCCAGGGAGGCTCTCCCGATGACACTGTGGTTGGTGTGAGCCGTTGAAGTGCTGGGTGGCTTTGCGTTAATGCAGATCTGTAGGCCAGAGCAAAATAAAACCCCTGGTGTCTCATGCAGCTCGTGGCTGCGCGGTGGACGGCACGGGAGAATAAAGATCTGGTTGTGCCTTATGCAAACAATAGGGTCTTTCTGCTGACCCAGCTCCAGTCTCATCAGGGTGCTTGCTGGCATGGTTGGGTTTTTGTTGTGTTTCTCCCCACCCACCCAGCTCATGTAGATTTGGCAGATCAGCTGATACTCTGAAGCATAGAGCCCTGGGCTGTGCTCGGGGACAGTGGTGCATCTGGCTCTGGGGCTGGATCAAACCACCGCAAGCCAATGACATAGAAATCTATGGCTGAATCACAGTGGTTGGGAACATCGGTGGGGTGGGAACAGGTCTTAGGTAGGACTGGGTATTGATTGCCCTCGTTGACCTGGGGTAGGTACTTCTGAAGGCTGTCATCCTCCTGGGCAAGCCAGAGGCCATGTTCTGACTTGCATGTTACATGCAGGCACCTCGTTGTGTTCAGCTGGTTTCTCAGGCCTCAGACTAGCCCCTGTGTGGCTCTGTGCTAAGACTTTGGGTCTGAACTTTCTTCACCCCAGCTCTTTGCCAAGGGACTTGCCAGAGGTAGCCTCTCTTACACAAATTCTTGCAACCTTGGTCCTAAATAGCTGGATTTGCCCCAGTGGCTCAGCAGAGCTACATCCACTGGAAGCGCAGGATGTTGTAAAGGGGGTGCTTTCCCCTACAGTCTTAGGTTGGAGGTACCAGAACTGCTTGAGTGCTGGTGGGAAATGGTTTTGTCCACTGCAATATAATGCAATTGGGTATGCAGCTTTTGCCCGGGTGGTACAGCACGCACCTGTTGAGGATCTGGAGCAATTCTGGGTTAAGATAAGGTTGAGAGATGCCGTGAGGCATTTTGAGTGCTAGAAAGTGCCTGAGCCATTCTTGGCAGAACTGGGATGCGTCCTGGGTTGGGGCTGTCCTGAGGAGGAACAACCTAAGTTTTCTTTGTTCAGGAGCAGTTACGCTTCAGGGATAATGAAGGAGATGAGGACAGTGACACCAACTGTGGCAAATGAGGCAAATGGAGGAGAGCAGTTGTGTGGGGGAGATGATCCACGTTGCCTTCGTAGCATGCCTAAGAGTATCCAAGATGTAGTTGGGATCTTGTAGTTGTGCCCACCTCTGAGGAAGAAGCTCTTTGCTGCTGCTTACGTGCTCTCCTCTGTGGTTGTGGTTTCTCTCTCTCTTTTTTCTTTCTTTCTCCAAGAAAACAAGCCTCAGACCTGCTTCTTGTTATGCTGCTGACCCCAGGAAGATACCAGACTGCATAGCACTGCACATGGTGCCTCAACGGGCTGTGTGCTGTGCTCCATGCTGCAACTGCTGTCATGCTGCACGGTTACACTGCTTTGTTCCTCTGGCCTGCCCTGAAGGAGGGCTCCTGTTTGTCCTGTCCTGCAGCTTTTCCTGGGCTGGTCATGCTCGAACCCCAGCATGACAATTCTTGAGAGGGCAAACGCGGACAAGGCTATTGAACTGTCTGTTTATCATTACAAAGTGATGCGTCAGGTGGAAAAAACTAGACTAAACCCAGCTTGTGTCTGCTGCCTGTGTGATCACTGCCACCTTGCTGAACTTCTGCTAATGTGTCACCATAATATAATTGAACTTTAGCTTAAGATAGCAAATCCGAGCTCCACCAAGATTGTCAGCTTCTTTACCACTATGCCATCAGTGACTCTTCTGTGTCTGGGGCTGCTTAAGTAACAAAAGGGAGGAGTACACTTGCTTGCAGAGCTGGGAGAAAACAATAGTTTATAATCTAGTATTCCTCCAGAGGGGAGCTTAGATCTGTCCATTGAAGCCAGATAGCCAAGGACCTGACGGCCTTGCCAAAAAAATATCTACTGGAGAGAAACTGCTGCCAGACCCTCCTCCCACCAGCCAACAAGAGAGGTGTCTGCAACGTGAACATGCAGAGTGTTGAAGTGGGTAAAACGAGCCTGAACAAGGACAGAGCAGAGCCAGCTGTGGTGGCAGGGCAACACGGAGGCACCTGTTTGTTTCTGAACTGTGGGCCAGGAGCTGGGACCTGATATTGGGGCTTCTGTTAACCTCACAGCTCAAGCTGCAAGTGCCCACCTTGCTGTTGTTGGCAAGCCAAGACTTTGAGCCTTTTTCCATATGCAACTGCCCATAAAAGAAATTTTTCTCATGTCTTGTGGTCTCTGAGACCACAAAGGAATGCAGGCAGCACTTTGACCGGACACGTTCCTCCTGCTGGTACTAGAGTTCCTGAGGACAGCAGTTCTCTTCTTCCCGTGACCCTGGCGGCTTCCCATTTGCTCCAGTCACTGATTATAAAGCTGAGCAGAGTTGCAGAGATCTAGAAATACTTCTTATGTTTCCAGGGAATGTCTGAGCTCTGATGAGATTTTTTTTTTTTCAGTCTTGGTAACTAAGCCTCATGTCTTTCTTCTGCGCCCCGTACAGTTTCCTGTTGTGGTTTTTGAAAGGGTAGCACGTCAGTTTTAGTGCAGGCCAGGAATACAGCAGGTAAGGAGTCTACGTGGTGAAGTTGAAAGAATAAAAAGCTATTTAATCTGATCTGCCAAAGGAGAAGGAACATGCTGGCAACTGCAAACGCAAAGGCCCTTGAATGAGAGATGTGTGCCATGTGTTGTTACTCACATTAAGATAATAAATCCCCAACTTTGCAGCAAGCTGGCGTCAGGCATTTCGTGCAAAACTTTTTCCCTAGCATGTTCCTGGTCATTTGGCAAGTTAGTGCACAGCAATAAGAACCACAGCCAGTGCTGCTGCTCTCTCGTCTGCCTCCTTCCAGCTTCAGCCATCTGCCCCATCCTTACCCAGACAATTTTTTTATGTGCAGTGCAAAATCCTGCATGGAAAGTGAGTGCCTTTCACCTGATTATCAGTTACCACCTAGGCCTTTGTAGAAGGACCACCTATGGATGTCCTGATGCTTGAAGCTTCCTTCACATGGCTTCATAAACAGATGATCGTGATTGCTCTGGTGATGGCAGCAGGATGATGGTGGTCATAGCATGTCAGCACCAAGGATGAATTGCTTTTGTTTCATGTTTTCTGTTAAAAAAATGCAATGCTCTTTCCTCTGAATTCCACCAGAAGTGTCTACGGTGACCTGCAACAGCCTCTTACATTTCTGAGAGAGGCAAGAGTGGGCACTGCTGAGGGCTTTTTTTAATCATGCTGAGGCTGTGCCAGCTCCTGTGTGCCCCCCACCCCCAGGTACTGTCAGCTAGCAGTTTCAGCACAGTGCAAGACTTGAATTGTAACACTGGCCATTGATGTGGATGTGGAGTAGAAAATGCACCCGATGGGCGAGAGCAGCCCTCTTTGCATTGTTTTCCTGTTTGTTTTCAGATAAAAGATATGCTTAGCAGAGGTAGACATAAGTGTTATCTTTTCTGTAGTTCTCTCTCCAACATTGACCTTTCAGTGTGAGATGTTATGGTCAGTCACTCTGACCTGATTCGCAGCTCTGAACTGCAGTCTGCTTATACATCCCACCACTGCATTGGTTACGTGTATCCTCCTCCTGCTGATCCAGCTGGGGGTGTGCTGAGGGGCATCGTGTATTATAGCTGGTGAGCTAGAAATGGACAAAATTTGTTTGGTGAGTCTGGTAAAGTGCAGCTCTGATCTTCACTGTCCAACCGTGGCCTTTGGCTTAAGGGTGCATGAATTGCCCTCATCAGCATGCACGCTGGGGGAAATGTCCTGCAAGTGTCCTGTAAAGGTAAAAATTCCCAAGAGCTTACCAAAATGCAATTGATACCTTGAATTGCCTGATGTGAATTTCAAATTTAGTCTTACTTTTCTGGTTAATACTCTTGCGCTGAGTAGAGCTCTTCCACCAAGAAGTAGTAGTAGCTCTTTCCACCAAGAGCAGGTGGAAAGAGACAGGTTCTTTCCAGGCATCTGCCATGCGTGCTCCTTTCCTTCTTGCTTGGATTCCTCTAGAAAAGCCCGGTTGTGCAAGGGCTGGGATCAAAGGCCCTGAATGCCTAACTGGATTCATCCGAGTTTTATGTGAAGGCTTAGATGCAATGAAAACCAGAGCATTTGCTTTTATTCGTGGGTAGTATTAAGCATGTCAGACAAGTATGCACTTAAGCACGACTGTTACACAGTGTGGGAAAAACAGCAAGTGAAGCTTTGATAAAGATAGAGCATTAGGAAATCTGCTTGCTGCCTCCCTTTTTCTTCCCCTCTTCAAACGTTTTGCAAATAGTTTTCAGACAACCGTTTGATCTCAAATTTGCGTGTCAGCAAAGGCTATGCAGTTCTCTCAGGAATTAGCAAATCGTAGAACAGGGTTAACAGGAGTGTATTGTGGGCTGCTTTTAAATTCCTCCCTTGCATGAGCCTCAAGACTGCCCTGGAAATTTCTTGCTAAAAAGTTTATCTTAAAAAGACCTGGAGCTATTTCAGGCTTATTGTTTTGTTTTAGATTACCTATTTAGATGCATCTGTTTGATGTCAGCTGTTAAATTTTATCCGAAGAAGCATCTGTGGGGAAACAGGGTGGACTGAAAATTTGAGTATCTTCTATGCCAGAAGACATTCTCCCCTTGAAACATGACTATGAAAGTGTCATGGTAATTGATAGGGTAGCAAAAATACCTCTAGTGCTCAGAGTGGGCTCTTATTTATTGAGTGTTTTGCAGCTTTTTGATTTGTTTTGTGCTATATGATGACCTGGAAACCTCTAGGACAAACTCAAGCAAGAATGTGCAGTCTCTTGGCATGTTAAACTTTGCTGTCACCGCCTGAATCAATTCATAGTTGTTTGAGCGTTTCCCTGCTCCCTTCCTGTATGTAAAATGATTTACAGAGCCACCCTGCAGCCCGCTGGTGTGAAATGCCCTGCTGGAGAGGAACAACACGCCGTGGGCTTGGCGTGCTGGCTGCTGCTTGGCAGCAGTTAGTATTGGCTGTGCTGGGCAAGGGGCCTGCTGGATATGAGGCTTAAAAGGGACCCTGGCCTTTTATTAGTATATTTGTAAACATTGCTAAAAGGCAGGAGAGAAGGTCTCTGCCCCCGTTAGTTACTCTGTCCAATGGGTGGTAGGTTGGTTTTTTTCGTTTTTTTGTGGAAAGGGATTTTGTTAGTGTTTGTCCCCTCTTGAAACACACAGCCAGAGCCTGTGTGGCAGGCTGGAAGTACATCCTTTATTCTTGCTTCAAAAGTAGGAACTGAGTTTACATTTGTTTGAGGCTGGACGCTCTCTGGCTTTTCGAAGTTCCTGGACTGACTTTTGAAAGTACAGAAAGATTCCAGCTCTCCCTGTGTGTACACAGTGATGCACGAGACCTTAGCTGGCTGGTCGAAATGACTTACACAGATTAATGATTGTCAGAAAAACTGGTTTTAGTGTGAAAGGTTAGCCAGAAGTATTCACTGAGCTCAGTCCCGTCTCTGCTCTGGTCCTCCTGTGAAAAACTATGGTAAACGTTGTGGATCACTTCATTAGAGGCTCATCTTGCGGAGAGGCAAGCTCCCCCCTCCTGAGCAGGACAGCTTGAGAGCCAACATTGCCTTGGGCTCCAGATATGGACTTAGTAAGGCATGAAAATCAGGCCAGGAGCAGAGGAGCCAGGAACAAACTGGCCCCAGTGGTGTAATCAGTGCTCACTACAAAAAAAATAAAAGAAAATCCATGTCTGTGTCATGATTAGCTTTGCCCCAGCAATCCTTGATACTTGAATTTCATGCAGAAATGACTGTAATGACTATTGTTAATTTCTCCATCTTGCTCAGCCCAGCCTAGGCTAGATCCTTTTTTCTAGCCACTTGGATTTTGGGGAACAGGAGTTAGAGATTTCTTTTGCCTACTGAGCAGTGTTTCAGTGGAAGCTATAAGAATATCTTTGCTGTGTTTAAGATAAGTTTCTTTTTACTTCCAAAACCTTCTCCCTGTGCTTTTTTTTTTTTTAATAAATTTACCATTTAATTCATTTCTTAAGTTGATGTTGGAAATTCTGAATTTGCTGCACTTGACTGGGCCCAGTGAGTTGTCTGCTGACCTCGAAGAGGTGATTCACAAGATAGGTAAAAAACAAACCATTTTTAAGGAGCCCATTGCTGCCCCTGAAAGTGTTACCTCATTTAGTGGATTTTTAGTTAGAAATGGTTTGTAGTCTGACGTTGGGGCTTTCTATCCTGGCTAGTATAGCAGAGTGTCCTCATTACACACACTTTACACAGAATGGATTTGAAAGCTGTGAATAGTTTGTAGGTGGTTTTTGCACGCTTAGTTTGTGCAGTAAGCTGGTCTTGAAACTTAGGCATTTCATGTCTTGAAATTAACTTAAAAACACTTTTTGCTATATATATTTTGCACCCTTCTTCCCCTTCCCCTTGTGTTTTTACGCAATGTGTCTTTGAGGGCGTTATTGTCTCCCAACACAGAGGTTGAAGAGTTAATTATTCACTTTTCCTAGGAAGTGGGAACTTCTACATATCTAAACCTTGTTTAAACATTGAAATCCATGTTACTAGAATTCCCTTGCCCAACAGTTTTCGTTGTGGGCTCCAGCAATGGTATGGAGTTTAAACATGCCTAGGAATTGTATGGTCAGCAGTTAAGTCCCTAGTGAGAGCCACGCAGGCTAAATCCACCTTGGGGAAACAATGGAGGTTGAAGGCGGAATTTTGGTTAAAACTCAGGGCTTTGTTAGGGGATCAAAATTTAATTAAAAATAATCTCCCCTTGACGTGGTCTCTGCACAGCAGCCTTCCTCCTACCCCCACTCCTCACTTAGGGGCTGCCTGTGAAGAACCTCACTGCTACCTTTGAGCAGTGAGGTTTTGGTGGTAGTTTTTTTCCCCGTGCACTTTGTTGCGTTTCCAGAATAACCTCCAAATGTGTTGTTCCCCTTGATCTCTTAGCTGAAGTGATGTAGTTACTTCCTTTCACATAGTCAAATTCAGTTCAAGGCTTAATTTTGTCAAATTTCAGTTATTTAGCTTGCCTCTGACATAATCCAAAAAGGTAGGCGAATCCAGTTAGCTCTATGAGTTAAGCTCTGAGAGCATCTCCTGGTGTATTGCAGAGGTCTCTTGTTCTGTTCTGCACTGTTGGGCAGATGAACCTTTGTGCTGTGTTAGTGGCCCCTGTAGCCCAAACAGCTGCTGTCATTGGATCTTTGGGGTTCGAGTTTCTTGCAAGATCTCTGAATGAAATAGTCTTTTTCTACCATTCTTCTCCTTCATCCCACAGGAGGACTCGGGGAGGAGCTTCTCTGGCGCTCCACACCTGCTGTGGCACGTTGCAAGGTTCAGACCTCTGGGTAGACCACCATGTCCCTTCTGTGGTCTGAGGTTTTTTTTTGCCAGTTGGATCTGTAGCTTTTTATCAATTACTGGGGTGAGATGAAGGTGTGTCCTATTCCAAGGAGGTTAAAAGCTGTTCTTAAAGAAAGGCTGATGGAGCCTGGATGACTTCTTTTTCCTTGAGCTGCAGGGAATGCTTGGTGGATCAGAGGGGGACTGTGTACACTGTATATAGGCAGCTAACCTGGGTAGGTACTGGAGATCTTACCAGCACCTGCAGACAGGACTGTGGGATCCACCTTTTTCAGGCATGGGAAAAAGTATTGTCTGGACCACGATTGGCAATGGTGTCTCTTCCCAGCCAGAAGTACCCAAACTGAACCTGCCTTTACTCCTCTTCCAGACAGCATCTGAGAACAGGGGAGAAAAACTATTTGACTCTGAAATGAGGACTTGAAGCTATTATGCTTGTCAGTTTTTCTTCCTAAAAGGGCAGAGAGGCACAGCAAATACTGGCTGCTTCACCTGGCAGAAGGGATCTGGTGCCTCTCTTCATCCCTGTCTCCCATCTGCTGAGTTTTTGCAGGATGTCCAGTGATTTTTATATTATTTTTTTCCTCTTTTATTTAGGCCCAAACTACAATTAAGCCCAGCTAATGGTTTTGATAGCTTTGGGCTTCATGACTTCAGTGTACTGAAATCAGTCTCTCTGAGAAATTGCATGCATGGACTTGTGTGACTTAGATGCACTCTGTGCTGTTGCAGCTGTGATGCTGTCGGTACGTGAGCTGCATCAAACTGGCTGCCTTTGGCTTCTGCTGAAAGATTACAGGTAGTCACCAGGGAGTGAAATGGTACCATGAAGAGCAGCTGGCACTTGTGCAGGGCTGAGACCCACGAGGTTATCTTATACGTAGTCACCTCTAAATTTCCTTTAAGAAATGCAGGAGATGAGAAGACATAGTGTTATATTAAACTGGAAATGACCTTAATGAAATAATACAGTGTTTCTTTTCTCTTTTTCAGTTTAGAGTTTCTGTACCTGGGAGGGAATTTCATTACTTCCATTCCACCTGAATTAGCAAAGCTGCCTTCTCTAAGCTATCTAGTTCTGTGTGACAACAAGATCCAGAGCATTCCACCTCAGCTGGCACAGTGAGTATTTACTGTCATCAGCCACCAGCTGTAATTAACTCTTTGAACTTTTTCTTCTGCGTGTGTGGATAAAAACACCTGGGAGGACCTATTTGTCCTTCAGTTTGTTGATGTGACTAGACTTGAACAGGAAGATCCTGAGCATGGTGCACTGCAAGCAGACCATGAATATACAATGTGGAAATCTCAATCAAAGGGTTAAGGGGGGGGAAAAAATGTGACCAAGTGTACGCTTTAATGTGAATTAATAGATTTATAGAGGGAGCCCTGAGAAGTACCTGGGCAACTCAGAAAAGATAAACTGCCAGTCTACTGTATTTTTAGTGATGAATGCTTGGCCTGTTTTGTCTTTAACCCAAAGCCTTTTTGTGTGTGCTTTTGTGTTCTACCATCCCCTGTGTTCAGTTGGTGTCTCTTACTCTAGGATCTCAGAAGGTTTTAGCATTTATTAAATCCTATAGCAGAGCTCTAGAAGATGAGTTACTGCTTTATCTGTTTCCTAATGGGGGAAAGAGGACACTACAAATGCTGTATGGGTAGCCTAAGATGGGAGGTGAAGAATTCGGTGTGTGTATGTAACCCTAAAAGCAATCAGATGACAGGATGGAGTTTTCTGAGTTGGAATTTGATGGTGCGGTGGGATTACTCTTGATGTACAACATTGAATGATTCCAGTTGTCTTGTAACTGGTACTGGTTTGGGAGCATCCCTGGATGCTGTGCTGGAGCATTGATTTGTGCTTCCTGAAAGGAGAATGAATGCCTTCTCCAGAAGCCAAGAAACTGCTTGTCACTCGTGTCGATTGCTAGCCTGGCCTGACCTTGCTTAGCTTTTGAGGTCTGGTATTATCACAGCACAAGGTGATGCAGCCGCAAGCAATGAAAACATGGGGTTTTCCAAGGTTGGCTGCCTACCAGCAAATCATCTTTAATGCATGACTGAGAGCAGGTGACTTACTCAGATTATTGCATGGAACCGTTCTTGATGCATGCACTGGGTACAAGGAAACATTATCTCCCCCTGAAAGCACTCGGTTCCTATGCTTTTGTTCTGTTCTATTCTTTTTTGGGGTGCTTAGGGGGAAACGCTGAGAGGATCAGCAGCGTATCTAAGGCTGTGTTTCTTTAACAGGCGTTCAGCAGGTGAGCCAGGTTTTCTAGGGCATTGCGTGTGCTGGAGTAACAGCAGCTTTTTTAGCATGGATTTGTGCTTTGAAAGAGAGAAAAGCCAAAGGAAAAGAAAATTGGAGGTAGAGGGGAGAGTAATCGGGTCTGTGTAACGGGTTTGTGGAAATCTTCTTGCACACCTCGACTGGGTGTCCATCTCCATCCTCAGGCTGCATTCCCTGCGCTCCCTCAGCCTGCACAATAACCTGCTGACTTACCTTCCTCGAGAGATCCTCAACCTGGTTCACCTGGAAGAGTTGAGCTTGCGGGGGAACCCGCTGGTGGTTCGGTTTGTCCGTGACCTGACCTACAATCCCCCAAGCCTCCAGGAACTGGCTGGACGCACAGTCAAAACTCGCAATGTTCCCTACGCTCCCAGTGACCTCCCGGAGAACCTCGTCCGCTACCTGAGCTTGGCCAGCAACTGCCCCAATCCTAAATGTGGGGGTAAGTTCTCCTTAACTGCTCTGCCTCCTGCTTTTTTACTTGCTGGGTTTTCTTTCCCTCTGACTTGCCATGACTCTAGTAGCTCAGTCAGGTGAGAGGTGGTGGTGTATCCAAATTCTATCTGTATTTCATTGGCTCCAGATCTTCTGTGAACTTGTCTTTAAGGAACCTTGTTCCCTTAGGAATGTTCGGAGTTGTAGTGCTGGTTTGCTGTATTTCTCTAAGCTATCTAGTTCTGTGTGACAACAAGATCCAGAGCATTCCACCTCAGCTGGCACAGTGAGTATTTACTGTCATCAGCCACCAGCTGTAATTAACTCTTTGAACTTTTTCTTCTGCGTGTGTGGATAAAAACACCTGGGAGGACCTATTTGTCCTTCAGTTTGTTGATGTGACTAGACTTGAACAGGAAGATCCTGAGCATGGTGCACTGCAAGCAGACCATGAATATACAATGTGGAAATCTCAATCAAAGGGTTAAGGGGGAGGAAAAATATGTCACCAAGTGTACACTTTAATGTGAATTAATAGATTTATAGAGGGAGCCCTGAGAAGTACCTGGGCAACTCAGAAAAGATAACTGCCAGTCTACTGTATTTTTAGTGATGAATGCTTGGTCTGTTTTGTCTTTCCCTCTGACTTGCCATGACTCTAGTAGCTCAGTCAGGTTAGAGGTGGTGTTGTATCCAAATTCTATCTGTATTTTGTTCGCTCCAGATCTCCTGTGATCTTGTCTTTAAGGAACCTTGTTCCCTTAGGAGTGATGTTCAGAGTTGTAGTGCTGGTTTCTGTATTTGCATGGGGATGTAAGAGAGTGTTTCTGTCAGAGTCTTTGCAGCTCATCCCAGCGCTCCATTAGGCTTTTATGGTCTGAAGTTTCCGATTCATCTGCCCTGAAATTTCACTGAATTTTTAGAGTTGGAAGGGACCATAGAGATCATCTAGTCCAACTCCCCTGCTAAAGCAGGACCACCCAGAGCTTGTCAGAGCATGTTACTGAGGACTGCATCCAGGCGGGTCTTGAAGATCTCCAGAGAAGGGGACTCCACAACCTCCCTGGGCAGCCTGTTCCAGGGCTTCGTCACCCTCACCGTGAAGAAGGTTCTCCTCATATTTGAGTGGAACCCTTTATGTTCCAACTTGTGCCCATTGCCCCTTGTCCTCTCACTGGCAACTACTGAAAAGACTCTGGTTCCGTCCTCCCTCAGCCCGCCTTGAGATGCTTGTAGGCCTTAATAAGGTCTCCCCTCAGCCTTCTCTTCTCCGGACTAAAGAGTCCCAGCTCTCTCAGTCTCTCCTCATAAGGGAGATGCTCCAATCCTTGAATCATCTTTGTAGCCCTACGCTGGACTCTTTACAATAGTTCCCTGTCCCTCTTGAACTGGGGAGCCCAGAACTGGACGCAGTATTCCAGTTGTGGCCTCACCAGTGCAGAGTAGAGGGGGAGAATGACCTCCCTTGACCTGCTGGCCACACTCTTCCCTATGCAGCTCAGACTAAGAAATGGACAGGAGAACGTTTGCCAGAGCTCTTGCTGAACAGCAAGCTTCAATTTATAGAAAATCCCGGAATACTTGCACTTAATTTGGCTTAATCTTTATCCAGAGTAAATGATCTGTGCGTTCGGCCTTTAGAAGATTAAAGAAAAAAAAAATATCATTAATTAGTATCTACCACCTATAATGCAGTCTGTTATCTTATCTCCTTACAGGACAGTATCAAAGCTCTGTAAACAAAGACAGAAGGGCTGGAACTTGTGTTGAAAGCGAGAGACATTTCCTTTTTAGAGTTTTGCAGAGCTTGGATAACAGTGGATTTGCTCTTTTTTGCTTTTCCTGGTGAACTAGCACAGCACTGCAGCATTGCTCTGACACTGCAGGAGAACAGCTTACTCCAGGCCAGCCAGGTCTTAACACACCACTGGAAACTTCTGAAAATGTCAGTGTCTAAAATCACTTGCTGTGACAGGAAGGGAACCCGATTGTGTGTTACAGTAGTGCTGTTGCCATGGAAAGTAGCATCCAAACTCAGCATGGTGACTTCACTCAAGCAGAAGGAAAGTAGAGCTATGAAAGTCTATTTGCAAATGCATTTGTGCTAGCTGGTAGAAGAGGTTTTACAAGTTTGAAAATAGAGCGGATGAATTAATTTGACATTTAAGAAGTTTGCAAATTCCCAGCCTGAGATTTCTCCCTGACGGTTAGAAGAAATTGACGAATCCTTTGGAAGTAGCTGCCCCATGTCTTTTCGTGCAGAGTGTGCCATTCTGAATCACCTACCAAATACAGTTTTACAGGATATTTGGGGTTTTTTTAATGAAGAAAAGCGATTTCACATTTCCATAGGCATCCTGGTCCTTTCTATTTCTCCAGTGTCCCTCGGCCTTCTGTGTCCGGTGCTGTGTCAATTAAATCCTAATTGTTGGGTGTGATGCAAATGCCTCCAACCTTGCTGAGCTTTCAGCTTTCTCCGCACGGGGGGTCTCACGTGTTGTTGCTGTCCCCTCCTCCCTTACAGGTGTCTACTTTGACAGCTGCGTCAGACAGATCAAGTTCGTTGACTTCTGCGGGAAGTACCGCATCCCGCTGATGCACTACCTGTGCTCCCCGGAGTGCTCCTCTCCCTGCAGCTCTGCCTCCCAGAGCTCTACTTCCCAGAGCGAGTCTGACTCCGAGGACGAAGCCAGCGTCGCCGCGCGCAGGATGCAGAAAGTCCTTCTGGGCTAAACGAGGAGCAGGAGGGGAAGACTGGAAGGAAAACGTGTTTGGAAAGCAATAACGGAATAGCGAAGCGTGAGCCTCTGGCCTGAAGGGCTCACCAAAAAAAACCTGTCCTTAAGTCCACGTAAAGGGGCAGAGCATCTTAGCAAGCCTAGACTTGCTTGGTGCAGCGCTGCTTAGGAGAACTAACTCAGTGGCATATGCCTGTAGGGTGCCTGGGGTTGTTAGAAACGTCTGCTGTCTGGGAGACACCCCCTCTCCCTCCTCTGGGCTGGGGAGGGGGATTTTTTTTCTCACTGGCTGATTGAGAAGGGTTTTAATATATGACGCTTCACTGGTCTTCAGTCGTCCTGCAGAGCAAAGGAAACTGTCCAGATTTTTTTAACACTGTGGTAAATCAGAAACAGGCTAATGATGCCATGTGAGTATGTATGGACCCCAATGTTTTATATAGTGTTTTGATTCTTTGCTGTCTCCTCTGATTTCAGTTACAGGTTTTACACTCATCCTACACTAAAAATGGGAGTTCGATTATTATTTTTTTTTGTTCAGGAGTAGATTTTTCCAAATTCTGTTTACTCTTCCTTTGCCTAGAGGCGTAGGGTCTCTGTGCTGTTACAGATGTTACAGCCATCATAGAACTGAGCCACCTTTTTTCTCCCTTGTTATACCAAGCTGCTTTTAGTGTTTCCTCCTAACTGTATTCATCATTTTTCCTCCTTCTGCCTCTTCCCATTACACCTGGAGCGTTGCTGTCTTTATGGTGCCTTCAGACGAGTTATTCTATTGAGACCTGGTGTTACTTCAGATTTGTGGCTGTACGTGCCTGTGCAAGGGACCAGATGCGATGCTCTGTGGCATTTTTAGTCTCAGCTTACTGGAACAAATCTGATTTTATATCTGTGAATTGCAGGAAAGGTCCTGATTGACACTTCTTGTTTTTAAACAGCCATGTCCCCCCGCTACAGCTAGCTCTGCTATCTTGGTACAGAGTTATTTTCTGTAAGATCACCTGCTTAGAGTAGGCAGCAGCTTAATGAATTGGAAATACTGAGAAAAGTGCTGTGGAGAATGGTGGGGTTTTTTTCTTATTCATCACATGAGAGGAAGAGCTAGTGGGGAGGGTCAGGTGTGTTTTCTGAGCATCTTGCATGAGGTGGTTTTGGAACCTCTTCCTTATTTATTTGTTTGCATTTGCTCTTGTCAGGATAGCTTTGGCAGTCTGTTGGATTGCTCAAATAACACATTCAGTTATCTCTAAACTATTTGTAAAGGAAAGCTGCAGAAAATAGCTCAGAATTTTTAAGTATCAAGAAATACCTGTCAATTCAGAGTGTTAATTTTTCAGCTATCTATAAGTCTACTTTATGGGGCTGTTGTGTGTTTTGCTTAGTGAGAGCTACCCCTTTATTAATATTTTTTGTGGCTGACAGTTGTTTTGATGCAGTTTCAGATAGAGCAAATCCAACTGTGCCTTTGAATGCATGAGCAGAGAAAATACATTGTGTTAAGAAGCTAAATGAGCAATAAAAGCCTTTTTTTTTAACCCACTTTGGCCCTATGGGGGAAATTAAAAACCTTTGCTCCTCTCCTGCATTCAGAAAACACATGTACCTATTTGAATATCTTATGGCAGCTCTCTGGTAATGGTCCTGGTTAATTATATTTGACACTTTATATATTAAAGCACTTTGATAATTCTACTATTTGTAACTAGCCTTAGTGATTTTTTTATTATTATTTTTTTTATTAGACTACAATTTTTCCTTTAATGTGACCTGAAGAACAAGGTCTGTGAAACTTTGTACGTTCCAGTCTGCCTCGGTGTGCAGGTTGAACTTCTTGCCTTGCATGTCCTTGACAGTGCTGCTCATTTCCCTGGTTTCCTTTGGAGAGAACTGGAATTGGAAAGAAATGATCTGGTTGTAAAATAGCACGTCGTTCGTTATTAATCATCGCACCTTAGTCTGAAGACTCCCCAGATCCACAAGGAACTAAATTGCACGTGCTCTGTGCCTTTCCAAATAGCTTCTTTAAAGTACATTTTTAAGATACGATAAGGTGTATGTGCAAAGCAACTGAATGTCACTTTAGCAAGTTCTGTGAGGTTTGCGTGGCAAGAAGGTCCTACAGGTTTTGATAGAAACAAACTGCATGCTGTTAGTTAAAGTGGGATCAGTGAGGGGCCTGTGTTGGATTCTTCATCTCCCCTTTCAGATGCTTATTCCGGTCCCAATTAAATATCATCAGACCAGTGCTGAAGGACAGTAAACTGGCGTTAGAGCCACAGTTTTAAATTGGCTGCTAGTATAACAGTAGTGAGTAACTGAGTGATCTAAAGCTTGGCTCTTCTGCCAAGTAAAGTGAGCCACACACGTTGAGATCTCAAGAGTTTTTTTGAGCTCAGGGCCATGAGGTACCACCTTCCTTTCTTCTCTTTAGCAGCAGTTGTCTTGAAGTTCTGCATTTTTTCACTTCACAAAGGCAGATTTCACCACGGTTCCTGTTTGCACTGGAGCACCTCTGTGTGTGATGGGCTAAGACCAGTGGTGGCTGGTTCTAATTTAGCTCCATCCTTAACTGCATTTTCTTTCCTAACTGAACAGGCATCCCATTTTTGCCCCAGTTCTAGTAAGGACTAATTGGCTAATCTTTCACAACTTCTTCACTGTAGCCAGGTAAAAGCTTGACAGCTTATGCAGTTGATATCTCTATGTGTTTTTAGACTTGATAAAATGTCTATTAAAAATGTGTATATATATATATTCCTGAATATAGCTAGCAAGTTTTCTTTTTGCTGCTGGGCTTTAAAGTGCAATTCAAGTAAGTCTGAATTTAAAACAATCAAGGACTTGTAAGTAAAACAAATGGTTGCTTGGTGGTTTGGGTTTTTTTTCGCCCTTGGAGGTGGATTTGAGAGGACTAGGGATGCAGGTTTGTACTGTAGTGCCTGACGTACTGAGCCCCTAGGAGTCAAGTTTTTCCAGCAATTGTTAGCTCCCAAAGACTGGAAAATGTGCTGGGCAATAAAATAGGTAAGACACAGCTTGAAAATACACTGATGGACGGTAGGGATTAGTTCCTACCATCCTCTTCTCAGGGGTCCTGAGCAGACAGTGATTTTGCCAGTATTATAGTTCTTTTTGTCGGTTTTGAATAGCGGATTTCAATTCCTACAGATGCATCTCCGAGTGAAGCCTTCAGTCAGTGTTTTGGTATCAGTCCCCTTGTTGCTACAGCAGCCCAGCACGTCTGGCTTTTGAAACTGTTCTTAAGCTGAGACACAAGTGTGTGGAGCAAAGTTGCTCATTCCCTCTTCCCTGTGGGGCCCTGCCTGCATTCATCCCCCCCCACCATCCCTCTGCCAAGGGGAGATGCTGGTGCCTTTCTGAATGCAGGTACTTCATGTGAACAGTGGGGTCGTGGTAAAAAGAAGCAAAATAATCAGTTTGACTGGAAGTAACTTACACAGTTGCTAATTCTTTTATGTTTCTCTTTCTTTAATAAGAGGTGAGACTCGAGGAAGTCAGTAATGAATATTTAAACATACTCTGAAGTGGCCAGATGGAGTTTTTCATGGGCTCCTGTCCTGGTCATTTTGAAATCTTGTGTGGAATTATAATGGGAGTGGGGGGGAGGGAGGGAAGAACCAGCTCGTTTTTGTTCCTTACTCTTGTTGGCAATAATGAATGGAAGGAATTTAATCCAATGAAAGTAATGAAACTTAATCCCTGCAATGTGTCTTTGTTACACAGTTCAAAGAACTATTTTAATGCATCTTATTCACACCATGCCCTCCCTCCCCAACTGAAGATACTTCAAATAGACTACTTCAGAATGCACACTAATAACAGCAGTAACTCTATCTTGGAAACTTTTCTATTGATTATTTCATTTGCCTGCCTGACTAGAGGATTGATCTTTTACTGACCTGAACATTAAGGGTAGAAAGGGTTTTCGTCCAGCCTTCTTGTTGAATTTTTATCATGAGCATTTGTTCTAGGAAGTCTTCAAGTGCCTTATGTTTTTAAAAGTGTATTTTGCTAGAAATGTATGAATGTAGAATCTTTCTCTCTCTAACAGTATTTCATTATGAGCTGTAAAACAAATTGCAAACACTAAACCAAAAATGTTATTTCTACAGTTGTCTGTCTGTTATTGGCCAGCATCTCCATTCTGGTATTGCCCTTGCAGAATGGTAGACGTTAAAAATGGGGCTATACGTGGTGGGGGAACAGATGAGATTTGACCTGTGCTGTGTAAAATCAAGAGCAGGTGAGACTTTCAGAGGGACTGCTGAAACTCTTGGGTTTTGGGGCCCACTTGTGACAGACCAGTGTGTGTTACAGACCGGACCGTGTTTTACTTCTGGTATGGTGTTGCAGAAGTTTGCTCCACAGTTTAAAGGTAGAAGTAACTCCTGGGCAGGATAAATACATGAACAAGAAAAGGCAGTGTCACAGTAAAGTTCTCCAGCAATATGAAACAACAATTCTAAACTTCTTTAATTGTTTCCCTCTCAATACGCCAACCCTGAAACCTGTAAATGACTTTTTGAATGTTAATTTTCTGATCATGTTAACTGGCTAATGTGTTCCCATTTCTCGTGTAATCCCATGTTTCCTCCTACATCCTGAAGAGTTTTTGTGATCTATTGCCAAAATGCTTCAGATCCTGCCGTGCAATTACCAGTTGTCAGTGCAGAAATATGGTGTATTGGAAAATGGGACAGTGGGAAACGAATTACTTGATATTAACTTCAGCAGGAACTATTTCAGAGATGGTTCAACTTCACGTGTAATGAAAAACCTCTCAAATTATGCAGCAGCCCCATTTCAAATTACATAAAATTCCGAGGAATGCAGTGACCTTGCCTGTAATAACCAGGCTGAGAATATTCTTGCCTCTTTCTGTTAACTAATATGAAGATACCATTTTCTATGCCTTCTTAGTGCCTTTCTTACATTTGGAAATAAAGTCATAGAAGTACTGGTTCAAAGGTACCTCTGGTGGTCTCTTGTCCAGGCTCCTCATTTAAGCAGGACTGTTTGCCAGCTCTGGTTCAGGTCACTGTGGGTTTGACAAGATGAGTCTTAAAGACCTCCATGGATGAAGAGTCCACAATCTCTTTGCCTCTGGTGCAAAGGTCTCTCCAGATGTCCAGCATCTTCCTGACATTAGTTACCCATCTGCCAATCTCAAGAAGCAAGTCTTGGCTCTCAAACTTTCTCCTCTGCTTTTAGCACTAATGCAATGAGAAGACTGTAAATGAAACACGAGTTACATGGGTGCCTGAAGCAGATGCTCAGAATGTCACATTGACATCTTAGGCTCATGCAGAATTGCACAGATCTAAAAGGAAGCGTTATGTTGATGCTCTGGAAGTAGAGATGTAGTTTCCTCCTCAGGCTGCCTTAGGTGATCAAGACAGCTAGAGCTGCAAGTGTGCACGTTTCCCTCTGCACCAAGGTTGTGAGTGTCAGTTGCCAACCATCTTAAAAAAATCACTGGAAGAAAGTTGTCTTAGCGCTGCACCGAAGAAGGCTGGAGTCATCTGCACCCATAGTCACAGTCTGGAGATGGCCTGCCATGTCCAAGTGTCTCTTCCCTTCCCAGTAGCCACTGTTCTATGGTGACTTGTTGGAAGAGGGGAGAGCACATACTCTTGTACTACAGTTTGCTGTGGTCTCCTCTCTCGCTAGTCAGCAAAATGGAGAGTTTTGGCAAGGAGATTGAACAGCAACCAGGGTCCATTTAGGGTGGAGGGGAAGGTAATCCATAGCAGAGTCCTGCGTCCAACTGGTCTTCTGTGGCGAGGTGAGGGTGCAGCTTGTCTGGTGTCAGTTTGTTTATCCTACGTATTATGCTTTGATGATCAGAGTGTGGAAGCCTGGCTGCCATTGGCACATCTCTGAAGATTATTGCTGGTGTGTTGGCAAAGGAGTGATTTCAGCAAGAGGCAGCCTTCCTTGTGTAAGGGGAGGAGGAGGTGTTATGAGGTCCTTGCCCCTGCCATGATGGGGACACTGGTGACCAGGTAAGCTGGGAGGGCAAACAAACCCTTCATCCAGATGATAGCTTGGGTGTGGACAGGGGGTCACAAGCTGAAGCTCAGCAGGTCGGCAATGTCACCCTTCACCTCAGCGAGGACACAAACATCTACTGACGGTGAAAGGACCTGCGTGTTTTGTTCGGGGGTTGTCCCTGAAAGAGTACATTTCAGCCTCAGGGCTTTGAAAATGGATAGGAAAGGAAAATGCCATTGTGGAAAAATCGTTTTCTGTAATTCCTGGGAATCCTGGCATTCATAGTAGAAGTGACTTTATAACAAACATGCATAATACTGAGCAAAAGTTGTCCTTTGTGCCAGACAACGTTACGGGGTTGCTCTCCAAAGCCTTGCTTTGTAAATGCTGTATTAACTGTGGGGAGGGCAGCCCCGTTGTTCCTCAGGAGCAACAGCCACGTGGTTGGGGTAGGTGACTTCATGGGTTCTGCTGTTGAACAGAATGACACCGAGCAAGTCTGCAGCAAGCTGGCAGATCATGGGAAGGGTAGGCATATGGATGCAGAGCTGGACACTAGAGATAAGGAATGTTATATTTCCTTTAACAGTAGCCCTCTAATTCAGACCAGTGGTTTTTTTGGAGGTGGGAGAAGTCTGGCCTTTTAAGAACATCCTTTGCACCAGGTAAACAGGTCA